CCCAGCCGCTGTCCCCAGAGCCGATGCCAACCCCTGTCCCCAGAGCCGATGCCAGCCCCTGAGGAACCCTCTCTTTCTCCCCAGGTTCCTGGTCGCAGCGCTCGGAAGCCCTCGGTGCTATGCTACCCTGCCACGTGCCGAGTCCAAGGCATCCATCCAAGGTAAGGACCCGGCTGCTCGTCAGGCTGGGCTCACGCGCTTTGGTGGGGAACAGGAGGGTGAGCGAGGCTCCGCGATGGGTGTCTGGGTTTCCAAAAAGGTTTGGGGTTCCTATGGAGCGCGCTACGTGTTTGCTAGCTTGGAAAACTTCCCTGCTGCTTCTTGATCTGGGGTGGTCTTACCCCAGATGGTGGGGGGGTGACTGGGGTGGAAAGAGGAGGAGAACGTGCTGGAGCTGCTTTTAGTACTGAAAGGAGGCAAAGGGGTTGCGGAGGCACCACGAAACGGGCTGGGGAAGCGGCGTTTGGGAAGGGGGTGTTGTCACCGGGGAGGGACGTGGGGGGCGGCCGCCGGTCCCCGGTACCGCCGCTGCTTTGGGCCTGGGGCAAGGGTGAGGTGGGAGAAGAACCCCTTGGATCTGCCAGGGTGAGGAATTCTGTAGCGCAGCAGCCGCGTCTGCTGCTTCTGCCTCTGCGAGAGGACGAGCTAAGGGCTCACTGTCTTTGCCGCAGCGGATGCTTGCCCCTCTCCTCCTCTTCCTCGCTGAGCTCGGCTGCAGCGCCCAACCCACTTACCAATGGAAAGATGCTGTGACCAGCGAGAAGCTCACCTGCCAGCAGTGCCCACCGGGGACCTTCGTGGCACGGCACTGCACCAGGGACAGGCAGACGGTCTGCGAGCCCTGCCCGGATTTGCACTACACGCAGTACTGGAACTACCTGGAGAAGTGCCGGTACTGTAACGTCATCTGCGAGGAGAAGCAGGTGGAGGTGCAGCAGTGCAATTCCACCCACAACCGCGTCTGCCAGTGCCGGGAGGGCTACTACTCGGAGATGGAGTTCTGCATCAAGCACTCCGAGTGTCCGCCGGGCTCCGGCGTGGAGAAGCTGGGTAAGTCCCCTCGCCAGGCGGCTGCGATGTGGGTGCTTGCGAGCTCTCGCCACGTCCCCAAATCTCCCCTGGAGCTAAAAATCGAGGAGCAACACAGCGGGCAATGATTGCCCCTAGCCTGAGCTGCTCCCCTCGTGCTCACCAGCCCAGCGCCGGCCTTGCTGGCGTCTGAAACCGCTCCTGGCTTCTTTTCCAAATGATTTATTAGGTTTTCCCTCGGCTTTCGCTTTGAAAGCCTTTGAAATCCCCCAGCACCAGGCTAAAGGGGACACGGCAGTCCTGGTTACCTGCTTCGCCTGCCGCAACCGGCAGAGCCGGGCCGTGATTCACCCGTCCCCGGCGCGGCAGCTCCCCCGCGCCGCGGCGAGTGGAAGGGTCCCAGCGGCTCCCACTCCTCCGTCAGCTCCCTGCTCCTCGCAGGCAGGTGGCCGGGGAGCGGGGAATGCTGATTGCCTGGACTGAAAAGGGCTGCTAGTGATGCCAGGGCAGGGCTGATGCGTGTGTGTAGCTCTGGGGCTGCGTTTTGCGGATTTTATTGAGCGGTTTGGAGAGGCTGTGTTTACAACGTGAACTGGGCACGTGGGCAGGTTCCAAAACAGTAAAATCAGCCTTGTGTCGGTTCACGTCTGGGGGAGGGTCACCAGTCTGAGATTCCGTCCCCTGGCAAGATGGAAGTCACGGGAGGCTTGAGGGCTCTTATTTTCCCACCGTTTCCCCAGCACAAATTTACCTGGTCCCTTGGTTGCCCCCATTTGTGCCTGTGCAAGCTTTCTAAAAATACAAGTTGCTTAAGAGCGCGTTTGCCTCTCGCGCTCCCCGAATCACCGAGGACCGGGCTCCATCTCCAAAGCACAGCTGGGCAGCACAAAGCAGCGTGGGCAGCGTCAGCAGAAGCAGCGTTACCTGGCTGCAGGCTTCGAAGCGTTGGACGCCCTTCCGTGTGCGGCACAGAGGAGCTCCGGGCTCCTGGGCCGGGTGAAATCCCTGCGGTCGGCAGCTGATGCTCATGGTTGAGGTTTCAGGGTTTGATTTCTCCGCTGGGCGTAGCTGTGGCAGAATGCAGGGGTGCAGCGGAGGGTGAGCGAGGTCTGCGAGCGGCGCGGGGACGCCCTTTGAAATTCAGCGTCCGCTCTGGCTGGGGGGGTTGGCTGGAGGGCTGAGGAGCCGTGCGAGCAAGCCGGGGCGCTTGAGGAGAAACTAATTTTTTATTATTGTTTACTTTTTACAAACGGCTTCTTGTGCAGGGAACCCCCCC